GAAACTATCCTTTATAGAAGTTATTACTTATGGCTAGAAGACACAAAGGCCACAATCACTATTCAAAACATTTACATTAAAATATTTTAAGAGAAGAATCACTTTAATTTAAAAATTTTATAAGCACCTTATGCATCTAGAAATGTATCCAAGGATGTTCTGACTCAAAGAGAAACACGAGATTGGAATCTCTGATTTCAATATGATGCGGATTAGAAATAACTAATGGCTTCTTGTAAACAAAAAAGAGAGTTACAACCCTATCTGAAAAAGATAAAAGTAGAATATTGAAAGTCCCAATAGGAGTGAAATAAGAAGAGATACTCACAGTGAAACAACAAGGTGAACAAAGTGTGAAGTGGACAGGTCTACTCTTGAGACTACAAGAAGCAGTTCAGCGTGACACAACAAGCAGTGTTTATGTGAGTGCTTTTGTTGGTGTTGGTGCTGTACTGGGTGAAGAAGATAACTAAAGTGGGCAACAAAAGCCCATGAAGAACGCTTCACTTAGAAACTGGAACTTTAAAGGACATAATGAGTTGGGAAAGGACTGGAGGATGGAAATGGGATTGCCTCGGATCCATACCACTCAAAGTGTGCTCTAAGGACTGGCTGCATCACTGTCAGTATTTTCTCTTCAAAACTCCTGAATTTTGAACTCTTCCAGAGACTGACAGATACAGGATCAGCATTTCAACCAGACCCTAGGTGATGAACGTGCACAGCAGTGTTTGGGAGATCAGAGATCATGTAGAGATCAGAGCTCTCTGCATGAGGAAGAATGCCTGTGTGCTAAGCAGAGCAAACCACAAAGAAAATGTCTATGAATTAAAATATCATACATGGGTTCTGTAATGGAGCCTGAACTCTGGACCCATAACTGGGCATCTTCACTTTTATGTGCAAATGACATTTTAAACTTCAGATGTTTAAACCCATAGATATCTTTCCTTCTGCTGTTTCCTCTCTTCTAGCATAAAGACTTGGTTATAAGGTTATGGGCGTCAGAGGAAGCAAGATCGTGACAAAGAAGGGAAGCCATGAAGGTGGAGTGTATGGCAGCTGACAAAAAAAATGGGCCAGAGAGATTCCAGGGGTGATGGACAAAAGGGAGTGACCAGAACTACCTGGCGACTGGTTCCAGTAAACAATTAAAGTATTCACTGAGCAAGTAAGTAAACACTTTGAGATAATGGGAGCCAAATCTCTCCCTGTCCGAAATCACTTATAAACATAAAAATGGCAAAGACTAAAACTAAGACAGAGGTGTTAGATTGAAATCAGAAATAGTATTATGAATTCATGGGCTTTTCAATATACACACACTAACAGAAACACTAGCGTTATAGATCTATGTTCATGCATGTATTTTTATAGAAAAAAATAGATAGGGACTGGGGATGTAGTTCATTAATACAGTGGGTAATTAACATACATAGGGCTTTGAGTGGTATCCCCAGCACTGGAAACACAAATAAGTAAAAAAAAAAAAAAAATATATATATATATATATCACATACAAATGCCCACATGACATGTTGGTAATCAATATATTTCTAAGTAAAATGTGAAAGTATATTTATATGTGTGTGTGTGTACATATACAACAAACACATTATACATGTACTTCCCAGTTTACTAAGGACCTAGAAGCAATGCCACTCTGGGATCAGTGAGCACACTGAGCAACCAGATATTGATCTCTAAATATTAACTACACCAGAATGAACCAGGGCACTGGGAAGAACCTGTTTACTCAGGAAATGTACAAGAGAAGCCTAAAGCAGCAAGTTATTGTAAAAGAATCATTCTGAACATGTGAAAATACCAAAGCCACATTGAAGAATTTTCCACTTGTCAAATCAAGGCATGAGAGCTAGTTATATTTACTCAGAAAATGCTGATCATTTCTCAGGGTAAAAATAGTAATTTCAGAGCAGAGATGCCCAGCAGACACCACCACCATCGGATGATGGAGACTGCTTCCACCTTCAGGGGGTGCATGCCCAGGTGTGTTGCACTGAGAACTCAGCATCCTTTTATGCCTGAGTCAGCTCATGCAACACTCACTGGATCCTCCCAGCAGAGAGTCATACCATGAACTGTTTCAGATTGGAAGAAGAAAGGAAAAGTGTGTTTCTGGAGAGGATCTTGAGGCAGAATGTAAATTGAGACAGTAGGGAGAATTGGTGAAATTTGAGGAGCCCTGGATTAGAACCTGGCAAAGCCATGCTTATTGACTGGGGAGTGCAGGCATGATAGTGTGTCCTACCTGATTGGAGTCTGCAGTAAGGAGTATTTGGGGTAAAAGGGCACGAGTAGAAAAAAAGGAAGCAGCAGAGAGGGAAGGAGAGGCTGCAGATACAGTGAACTGTGACAGCAGGGAATCCAGGTGAGAGGAGTAGGATTTCAGTTGTATTGTTCTTGGAGACTTTCTATCAGTTGGAAATATGTTTCTTTATTTTTAAAGATGAGATATCTTAGTTTCAACTATTGAAAAATTTCCTATAAATATTCCTTCACACTTTTTTTTTCTTGAAGGAAATGTCATTTCTTTAATTTCATTCTTCCACACCTTCCTGCTCCAAATCTCAGCAGTTTGTCTCAGTCCTCCCATCTCAACTCAATCCTGAGCTGATCCTGTTGGTTCCCTTGAAAACAGACCCAGAAAGCATCCACTTCTCACCATGACCCTCTTAGTCAAAGCCCAATCATCCTCCAGCAGATCCTTCATGGGGTCCTCCCTCACTCTTGCTCTGCTGCACAGTCTTCTCCACAGCCTTTGCTCTGCTCTGGAACTCTCAAAACTTCCTGTGTGCCCCAGGGACAGGAAAAGCCATACTTCTTACATGGTCTACGAGGTCTATGCAATCTGCCACCTGCCCAACTCCACCTCACATCCTAATCTACCTGTGATGGGCTGAACTGCATATTCCCCAAACTCAGGTGTTGAAACCCTATCCCCCAGTGCTTCTGAATGTGGCCACATTGGACACAGCACCTTCAAAGAAGTTATTAAGGTTAAATGTGGTCTTTGAAAGTTGTCATCTGCCTTTCCAATTAGGAGTAAATTAGGACAAAGACACACAAGGGAGCTGACAGCCATCTACAAGCCAAGGAGAGAGGCCAGGGAAGAAACAATCCTGAGGATGCATCCATCTCAAATTTCTGCCTCTAGAGTCATAAATAAGTTAATTTTTGTTGTTAAGCCCCCAGCCAACCTCTGCTACCCTTAGTTTCTGGGTCTGTCCCTCTGGCCTCTCTCATGTTCCACACACATCAGACGTGCTCTGCCTCAGGGCCACTGCCTGCTTCTTTCATCCAGAAGTCTTTCTGAATTTACAGCACATCTGACTGTCTCCCAGCTCATATGTCACATGCTTGTGGTCTTCCCTGACCCTCCTGCTATTTTAAAAAGTTTCCCATTCCCACCATGGCCTTCTTTCCCTATGCTAATGTTTCATATTTCTTGAACCATTTCTTGTTTATTCATTGTATCTCACTAACCAAGAAGGAACTTTTTTTTTAGCTTCTGAACTCCTGCACCAAGAATACCAGGTACATAGAAGTGATCAGAGAATAAATAAATGGAAAAACAAAAACAAAAACAAAGCAATGTTGCCATAGCATTTACCTTTTCAGGAGTTTAATGACCTTATATGCTGTGTTCCAGTCTAAACCAGTTGTGGGCTCATCCAGGAACAAGATAGAAGGATCAAGGACCAGCTCCATTCCTATACTAGTCACTTTTCTTAATTCTTTAGATTACACCTAAAATACAAATTATTATCATCATCCACACAACTGAACATGGTCATTGTCATTTGGTGAATTAACCTGTACCATTCCTCATAGAAACATGTTATCTTATTATGCTGATTATTCTGTGTATCAAGTAAATGACACCTGGGAGAAGGAGGAGATTTCTCAGTTTACCATATGCATAAGCTGAGGCCCAGTGCAGAGTTGTCAAGTGACTGCACCTGATATGAAGCTCAGGCTTTTAATAGTCTTGTATGTTCCTTACCGAGTCAAGTATTTAGTTTTAAGATAATAAGGTACAACACTAAAGAATATGACTCTGACATAAGGAAATACCTATAAAGATAGGAGAGGAAAAGGAAACTACTCATATTGATCTAACCACCTCCCATTGACACACCACCTCCATAAAATGATCCCAAGTAGATTGATAAGAAGAGAGTCAACTTGGAGCCAGGAGTGTATGCTTTATATTATGCCATTTTAGCATATTTTCAATTTCATAATTTTTTCCCAAAATGATGCTTTCTACACTTTAACTTACCTTAGAATTCCTGATTCACCTTTTCAGAAAAATCCAGAAAAGTGGATATTCCACTGGGCAACTGGCCCAATCTTTATAGCAATGAATGAGGGGGGAGAGGAGAAAGAAAGTTTTGGGGACTTAGGAAGTAGGAAACAGATCTGGGATTTGGAGTCTCCAAACAGATCATAATCAAATGCTACTCATGGCCCTGGATTAGGTACTATTAACAAATGAAGTATAGAAGATAATTGGGTACATATATCAAAGTGTCATATACATTTATGAACATCCACAATGAAATCTATTATAATAGATTATATAATTATTGTATAATTATTATAAACTAATAAAAAAAATTCTTGAATATAAATATGAACTTGATGCTTAAAAATTTTAAAGTGCTACACAAATACATGATATTACCACTACTATCACTCTAGTTAATTTTACATAGCTCCCTAAATAGATTAAAAAAAAAAAAACCTTTAAAAAATATACTAAAAATGTAATTGCTGGGCATTTTAGGAAACCTTTGCCTACAGGAGATTTTTCTTGAAGTTTTCTTCTACTTTAAGTAGCAAATTATGACCAATGACATGAAGTCTTATGATATTCAGCTTTTGAGAAGTTAGTCAGTACTGAACAGAGATTAATTTGCAAACGAAAAAGTCAACAAGATATTGAATATCAAATGTCTTTCCTATTTTTTCATCTTCCCTTTATATCCATGTTTATTTACAACCTTTAATACAAAAAACAATTTTTAAGGTTAAGAAAAGCATAAGAATTGTGAAATTAAAAAATCTTTTTAATTAAATCTTCATTAATCATTAATCTAAAGCAATTGTCTATTGTATCTTTAATAATACAAATGATTGTGAAAAAGAGATGGACTTCAAACAGTTGATGATACAGAAACATTTTTCAGTTTGTTCATTGATAATGGTTTTGGTAAGGTAAGGAAATGTGCTTATTTCTTTTTGCAGTTATGTAACAAAAGGTAAACAAATGAAAAATCCAAAGGAATGGTATTATTAATTATATAGTGACAGTAATTATTAGGTAATCAATCATATCATTTGAATAATCAGGCTATAGTTCTACATTTATGTCATGCTTAGATACCATAAAAAGCTAAAAAAATTTTTTTGAATCAATTTATTTATAAGATTCTAAGAAGCCAACAGCTGCCTTTATATGAGTATCAGTCCCCTAAATGAATCACTGGGGACTGATTTAGAACAACCATATTCCATGCTTTTCTAATTATGTCAAAAGTAATCAGAGTGTTATCTATAACTAAAAGAACACATGAAAAAAGAATCCTTAGATTCTTGTCACTTATCAAATCCAGAAGTGTATTTCAAAAAACCATGCAAAAATGTCCCCCAGAAGATGAAAGGGAGAAGAGCAGCTAAAAGAGGAAAGAGAAGAAAAGTCAGTGCAAACATATCAAATGATCTGTTTCTTTTTTTTTTTAAAGAGAGAGAGAGAGAGAGAGAGAGAGAGAGAATTTTTTAATATTTATTTATTTTTTGTAGTTATTGGTGGACACAACATCTTTGTTTGTATGTGGTGCTGTTTCTTAACAATGAGGGTGGGAGGACCATGGGAAAGGCCATTTAAGGCTCTCTCCACATAGCCCACTCTCCATCCCCAGGATTACACCATGCTTAAGATTGTTTCTTCACTTAATTTACTGCTTCAAAATAGGAATCTAGTCACTTTTCTCATCACTACAAAAAACAGCCAGTTTTGACCACACACACCTTAGGAAACTACTTGGGGCTGAGGATGTAGCTCAAGTGCTTGCCTTACACATGCCCAAGGCCATGGGTTCAATCCCCAGCACCACACACACACACACACACAAAAAAAAAAAAAAAAAAAATCTAAACTTTAGGAAACTTCTGATTAAGGTCACATTGCCCACACAGGGAAGTCCTCTTTACTGGTTTTGATTTTCACATTACCTTGGAATATGCCACTTCACTCAGATTTAACTCTGTAATGACCTTGTAGATCCTTATTTTTTTATGCAGGATAGTCATAGTTGTTGGAAGCTGAAGAGAAGCTGAGAACCACAAGTTTTCTACCACTGTCAAGGTGGCCAACATGACGTCATCCTGAAGGCAAATGCCATTTCAATTAAACAACACTGATTTTTTTTTGTCAGACCATTACTCCAGTGAATGTAAGTTAATGCACAAAAATAATTAACCCAAGAAAAATTTCTAGGTAATGGTGAACTTTCAGCTCTAAACATTTCAGTGACTCTACACAGAACTTCAGAGCCCAGGGAATAATTTTCCTTCTCTATCTGCACACCCAGATGGAATACAGGTGATTGTGGTGACTTCTAAAAACTTCCAGAATACTTTGTATGAGGATTTCATGGGGGCTTCTTTTAGGATAAAAAGAAAGGTGAAGGAAGGGCAAAAAGGACAATAGTAGATCCTTTTGGAAATCTTGCTATCACTGCCTACAGGTTCATATTCCAGGTTTTATCTGCCTCTACTTTTAACTCCTCCCTCGGTCTTAAAGGAGATTATGTAAAGGTGGTGTAAAGAAAGTTGGTTTTGAGCATGTTCAATTGGAAGCATGCTAAACTATAAGCCAAGGCTCTTCCCAAACAAAAACAGGGGAAATCTAAAAGGAAAACCCACTAATACTTACCTGTAACACATATCCTGAGTTACATTGGAATTGGCCTCCTCAGGTACTCCATGTACCCAGACATCTCCAGATAAACCCCTTGGATCTTTCCTTGCAGCTAAGACATCTAGCAACCTATAATAGGACATATTTGTTGTGAGTTTTCCTTCCTACAAAGGCCACATCTCTCACCTATTCTGAATTCAAATTCTGTTCATGTTAGAAAATGAACTAGTCAAAAAGTTCTGGGCTTTAATGTGTGTGTGTACATGCACACACAAAAATTCTTTATTTCCTTTTCATCATGTGCTATAAGAAAGCCCCAAAACAGTAAAGCAAGACATTACTGGCTTATCTAGTATAACCCTTTCAAATGACCCTCACCTCGATGGACCCAATCCAGGCAGTAGGCACATTTATCTCTGATGTATGCCTTCACTGAGACCTTCAGCTCCTTTTCTACCCTTTTAATAGTATTTCCTTATCTTTCTTCTTCATTAGCTCATAACATGGCCAACTGCTATTTGCTAATGATCTTATTATGCTCTGTTTGTAACACCAAATTTAATAAGACTATCTGATCCTAAGATTAAAGCTAGTCCAAATACAAGTTATCCTCAAGACCTAGGACCAGACAGGACATGAACAGAAAATGCATGTGATTTGTAAAAGCACACTGAAACAGGACCAAAAAGACTTATTTACACTTTCTTTTGTACTCACAAAGATTTGCTTCCACTTGAGGGTCCCATGATGGCATTAAGGCCAGGTTTCATGACTCCACTGTAAACACAAAAACATACTGATGTATTATTTCACTTTTTAAAGAGTTCTATTGTTGTGGGGACAAACAAGGCAAGGAAACAGTTTTATTTGGCTGCATCCAGGTTCAGAGGGCATAGCTTTTGCTGTAATCAATTAATCCCCTGAACCCTGAGTTCAGGGAGTTTCAGAGTTTTATACCTAGTGTGTAAAGGGAGGGGCTCAGAAGTTCACATAAAAGCAGCTTTTTCTTTCACTGTTCTGGGCAAATTAACTCTTCAAGGACAACACCTGAGAAGGGGAGAGCTTCTTCTCCCCTTTCTTTCCTCCCCCTGCCAGCTGTTACCCATGGAGCCCATTTGTAACTTATCTTAAAAATGTAGACATCTCCATGAAGCCCAGATCAAGGCCAGAGGCCTTGTTTGAACATTTCTTCAAAATATTATACTGGAAATATTTGTGAAAAACAAGTAAGGGAGTGTCCAGCACCTGGAGTGCTGGTATCTTCTCAGCCAATGGCCAAGTAAACAGGGCAACACAAAAATAGGAAGTATTTTTGGACTCTTTCTCAGAGACTCTTTTGCTGATAGTCCTAAAATCAGCCATGGTTAAGAGTGCTTTTCTGTGGAGAAAGGGGGTGCCACTTCACTATGGTTTAAGGTCTGCATTGAATATATTCATTGAAGGCTGATGAAATTGCAGACAGATAACAAGCATCACAGCTCAAAGAAAAACATCATTAATTAAAAGTCTAGCATACATAGGATATCAATCACTAGTCAGGAACTATAAGAAAAATACCTTAGAGCTCTGAAAATTCTTTTCACTTATTCTTGAAACCACTAATCCCTTTTGGGAAATGACACATTCCATGTCCACAGTCCATGAAATAATTAGCTAATTCTCATGGATAATCTCCATGACTCTTACTCTTCTTAAAATAGTTTCTGAATAATGTTTGATGATTAGCCTCTTCAAATCCTGCTTCCCAGTCAAGTTACACACAATTAATGAACCAATTATTTGTAGACTATCAGCAGTAGTGTCCTCACTTTTAAAATGTATTCAGAACAAAATCAACACATCGTAAGTATCATCTGTGATAATAAAAACAAATGTGACTCCATTTTGTTTTGTGACTCCATTCTGTAAAACAACCATGCTGAGTACAAGGGTCATGACTGGGGCAAGATGTTCTTTTTCTTTTGCTATAGAAACCTTTAAGAACAGGGAACTACCTAATGGGGCATTGTTTCTGTAACTGGGGTGACTGGGATAACTGTGATTGGTTAGGCTTCCCTACGCTTGACTGCACTGTCCTGCTTCTGTAACCTGGCTTGCTTGCATTGGCTAGACCCCCCCCTCCGAACATCCTTTTGTGGTGTTCAGGCTTATAAGGAGTGCCCTTGCAATTGTTCGGGGCTGATCAGGGGAACAGCTTTATGTTCTGGTCAGCCGCCACCGAAGTGCTTCAATAAAGGCTTGATTCAATTATATGTGAGTGGTCTGGAAGTCAATTTATGAAACCCTGGGGTGAAGCTTTAACTATAACAATCAAAGACTGTAACAAAGCACTCCAGAGTATAAGAAGCTATCACCTGTTCTTACATTTGAGAAAAATATCTTACCAATTAACAAAGCAAAGCACACACCATGATAGATGATTTACTGCTTTGTTTAGTTTCTGATAAATGGACTGGAAATTGCTCTGCATCCTTCTAGCATGGATGTCCTTTAGGGATGCACAGGAACAGAACACATACAAGTATGTTTCAATTAAATTAAGTGTGTGCATGAGGGTAGGGAACACTCAGAGTAGAAGGAGGTGTAGCAGTATAGACTGTGTTAAGACCCAAGATAAAGTCAGAGTATCAGTATAGACTGTGTTAGGTCCCAAGATAAAGTCAAATGAGCTGAATTTAGTCCTAAATAAAAGAGGTAAAATTACCAAGAGGAACCAAATGGAGGGAGAGACCTAAAGGCAGGAACACTGCAGGTGCACAGAAATGATGAAACAGCGGTCTGACTTCACCCATTCATAGCTCTGGTGTCTATGCCAGTCTCTCTTCAGAATTGCTGTGTACATCAAGATGTGTTGTTTTACAGTGGAATCAGTCTTTATTCTAAGCACAAGATCAAAGCCAACAGCTGTGCTTCCTCATATACTGATTCCCAGGGATGTGTTCCAGCACATCTGCCCCACAGCACTCATATCCATTAGGATTTTGGTATTCATGGCCTGGGACACCTGATCTGTCTCACAATGATACTAGGGCTGCTGGGGACTGGGGTGAAATGTGATTTTCATTTTGCTCATTGACCGAGGAGGATCTCATTCAATCACTGGACTACCATAATGAGAATGTGGTAAACCAGGAACAGGCTGTGACACAGAAAAATCTTACTCTTGTGGTAACCTTCCTCTGCTAGTGTAAAGACATGGTAATGACTGGGTATGTCTGGGGGTATAGGTCAGTGTTAGAATATAGGTCAGTGTTAGAGTGGGTAATTAGCATGCATGAAGTCTCAGGTTCAATAATTAGCAACCCTCCAAATTCAAAATGCTTGGGTAAACACTCAAAGTGCATTTTTCTACAGTTACATTTTTTATTAATTTTTTTAATTAACCTAGCAACTGCTTCTAAAATGAGCAGAAACAAAACTTATTATTTTCTATTGCCTAGAAAACTCCCCAGGTTTTTAAGAAATGAACTCAAGGAAGGAACAAGACATCCTGAATGACTCAGCCAGAAACTGAATATGAATGCGTTAAGACAAAACATTTCACAGGTACTGTTTTGTTTGGCTCTCTCTAACACTTAAACCCCACTGTTATAGCAAACAGCGGTAGGGGTAGAATCCTAAATGCCACAGTTCCAATGTGGAACAGTGGCTAATTCCACATCCATTCAGGCAACACAATCATGACCTGCCTATTCTGTATGGACAAGATACTCGTCTAGGACATGGGCTAGTGGTGAGAATAAATCAAGCAGATCAAACAAAGTCCCAGACCCCTGAAGTACACATTCTAGTCCAGCGATAAGCACCCTACAGCTTGTCACTTATTTTCTATTTTCACAAACACTGTGTGTCCTGACCGGCAGGACACATCAACGTGGGCCTCGAACCTAGGTGGGGAGGAATGAAGGGACAAGAGACACAGAAGGATGACAGCAAGACAGGAGTTCTGATCAAGCTGCAAACTTTTATTGTTCACACAGGGGTATTTATATGCTGGGGATGGGGAAGCTCTCTTATTGGCAGTTGCTGGATGTCTGCACAAGGTGAGATAACCGCAGGATGTTTCAGGAAGATAGGTGGCTGCAGGATGTCTCAGGGAGATAGATGGCTGCAGGGTGTCTCCCAGGCAGGATGTCTCCCAGGGGGCTGTTTCTTGTAAATGTCAGGCTATACTTTGAAGGAGAACTTCCTTCTAGCCCCTGACAACTGTGATTGGATAGAGCCATGCTCATTGGTTTAAATACAGTCTAGAGCTGCTTTCATGCTACAATGACAGTTAAGTCCATCAACTATGCTCTACCATTCTTGGTCTCCCCATCCTCTCTCCACCTTTCTCTAGCCCCTTACAAGCCTTATTTTCTCCTTTACAGCATGTGCCTGGAGAGCTCTTCCCTCATACTATAAACCCGCGCCAACTAGACTGTGTCTTATTGTTACCACTTTTCTCTCCTGCCCTCCACCATTACACACAGCACACTGAATCCCAAATACTGAGTACATGACATAAAAGGCACCTAAATAACACCTGTTAGATCTATTACGTTTTACTGGATAAAGGTCCACTCTTTGGTATTGTTTTGTTTATGGTCAGAAGAGGTAAATGTCATTCCTGGGGCATAGTCAACCCCCCCCCCCCACACACACACACACACACAATTTTTATTTTCTCAGTCTCCATGCACCTGGCTCTCCAAAGAAAGGTGAGGGGCTTCTGCTCTGTGTCTGAATATTTCTATCAATCATAGCAAACAATGCAGGGAAACTGCTCTAGTTTTCTGAATCTCACTAGACTACAAGGTTTCCAAGAACAGAGGGCATATCTCTGTCACTAGCATCTTGTACAGCACCAGGCATCTACTAGGCAAAGTCTAAAATGTATAAAAGAGGCAGAACACCCTCACTTCTTGAGAAACCAGGATACAGGCTATGCTCCCTTCTCCCCGCCAGGAGAGGTCTGAGTTACTATTTTTTAAATAAAACATGCTTTATGTTTGCCTCGGTGTGCTTCTCTAATGTTATACTTCAACATTTGAGGAAGTGGAACTCATCATTGATAACTCATGGTATCACAACCTAAAATGTGTCTGTCTCAGAAAGCACATTGGAGTAGTGAAATAAAAACATGTTCTATTTCATTGTTTGGAAAAATTAGGGTTACAATTATATCCCGACAATCAAAAAGCAATAAACTATACCACCAGGCCTTTTTCCAACAAAATACAAGGCTTATCTATGAAAAACCAAATGGCATATTAATTGTTCAGTTTCTCAAAGAAAGATTGATGCCCAGGGTATAACCACTTTTAGGAATGTTTTTTCATTTCAGTTCCTTTCAAAGCTAAACACATACTTAACAAGTGATCCAATCATTTCAGTCCTAGTTTAGCCCCAAAGAAATGAAAGCATTTATCAATATATGTGTATAATCTAAATCTTAAAAATAAATATTCATAGCAATTTATTGGTAATAGCCAAAACCTGGAAGTTCACTATAGTTCAATAAAGTGGTCCTTTAAAAAGTTCATGCACATACTTGAGATCTGATAGTTTCTGTTTCTCAGTTGTTTTCTGATTAAACAGAAAGCCTCTCTTCTCTTTTACATAATAACAGATGTTGTGAAAATTTAACACAGGCCCTTTCTGGTCACTTGTGGTCGTCCCAGGTTGGTCATCAGAGTTTCTTTGGGACATGTGGGTTAAAACCAGGTCATTGTTGGAAGACATCTGGAGAATTCTGTATTTCTGTAGAAAGAAAAAAAGCAATAGTAAGTTGATAGTCCAGGTAAATGAGATTTTAAACATCAGATAACAACACACGAACACTGTATGTGTTCTTAGTCACTGGTGTGGTCGATGGTCACTCCACTACCTCAGTCACAGGGGGTAGAGACATGGAGTCAACACACTGACAATGGGAGCTGGTGAGAGCTGGCAGGTGACAACCTCAGTCGACCTCCAGGCAAGCTCCTTTATTTTTGGAATGCATACAGCTGTTATAGGGTTCAGGTAGAGCCTGCCTGCCAATCACACTTAAGCAACTTAATATCTACAAACCAGTCATCTTATGCCTAATGTAACCGCACTATGAGAAAGCACTAAATATCGCTGTCGTGATGAAAGGCGGTTTGGAAGAGTCTTTGTCCCTAAGGGAGGGGAACTTTGTGAGTTGGGGGATTTCAAGCCCTGAAGCATCTGACTCTCCGTTTCCTGACCTGGTAGTCTGGTAGCTTGGCATCGCTGACCACAAGTGCTGAGGATGTGGTTTCACAGATGGAACAGAAAGTTATACCAACAGAACACATTTAATCCAAGCTTGTTTTAAACTGGTCTTTACAATGAACAGACTACAGTAATGTGATAAGAACAAACTTAGAATCTGTAAGGGGAGGCAGATAAAAATTGGAATACCTGCATTCCAGTTAAAGGTCAAATTCCCAAATTATGAGATCTTAATGAGTAAAGAATATGTAAATTATTCAAAACCCATGAAAGAGGAAAAAGGCACCTGAGAGTTAGTCTTGTCTGGCTTAAAAATCATACTATGATACAACTTTAGTTTAGGGACAGCCTATATAATCATTATGCAGCTCCTGTATTTTTTTAATGTTGGAGTTTATGATATTGTTACTATCAAAAGGAGCTTAGCCTCTCAGGCAGGGACAGGAGAGATTTCTTTGAATAAATAGTTCAAAATTGTACAACCCTTATTGTTGTGCACTTTCAATCAGCTAAAAAGGTAAACACCAACATTTATCGTTTTGCACTGACATTATTATATTTCTTTAATGGACAAACATGTAAAAATGATGAATTATATTTAACCAATAGTCAAGCAGAATAAGGCTATAAAACAAAATTGAATATTAATGAGTGATGTTATTAAAAACAGGTAGTTAGTGTAGATAGGTAATCGGTCAGATAGACAAAAGGAGTCTGGTTAGTGTTCTGGAAGTTGGAGACCACCCCTGGGAAATTGAAATATTAATGCTTCCAGAGCCTTTAGATTACCTGGCTTACCTGCCTATACTGCCCCTCCCAGAAGATTGTTAAAGAAGCACTTCCTGAGCAGGCAGGAAGCTGCTAATTAATGCTCCTTGGGCTACCACTCCCTACCTGCCCCAGCACTCCACTTTGGCCCTTTCTCAAGCCCATCTGATTCTCACCTTTTGACCTTCCCAGGAGCATCTACTGGGCCTAGTCGCTGGGAGGAGAGAGATAAAGGGGAAGAGGGCAGGAGAACAAAGGAAACCTAAAAAAAGTGGCAAGACACTCTCATCTCTTGGGATACCAAGGCACACACATGCGCGCGCGCGCACACACACACACACACACACACACACCCGCCCCCCAACTCCCATCTCTCTCCCCGGAGTTTGTGTTACAATTTTTTAAATAAAACCTGCTTTCTACACTTGCCTTGGCCACTTCTCTAATGTTCAAACTTTAACATTTGAGGGAGCAGAACTCATCAATAATAACCAGCAGTATCAAAGTTACAAAAGATCCCTTAAAAGGACTTAGAGTCAGACCTGGAGCTGAACTGAGCTTGTTAAGTAGGTTTGAAATTCTAAATGCAATAATTCTAGTTTTCATTTTTTAATGTCAAAGTCATTTATGAAGTACTTTCTCTCTGCCTATGGTGGACTGGCTGCTCCAAACTAATAATCCTCCTGAGAACAGCCAAAGAAGCAGACATAACATGAGGAGTGTGTGAAGAGTTCCCTGATGAGAGCAGCAAAGCCACAGAGACTGGAGGAACCAAAATCCCAGCAAGGAGGGAACAGCACTGGGCAATTCCAGCACCCTTTGCCTTCTCCTCTCTAGGGTTTGAGAGTGCAAACTTCACTCTGGAGCCAGGTACTAAGAAACTGCTAGAAGGATCATCCAGAAGCCCCTAATATATCTGAGAAAATATCTCAGCAGTCTTTCAGCCTTGAAAGATTGTGGCTAGCAAAGGTAAGGATTCTGGAAACCCAAGCTTTTAAGACCCCAGAAACATTGTGGCCTGGGAATATGGGAAAACCCAAAAGAGACAATACTCTGCTTGACCAAGGTAATATGCTCAGACTTTGCTAGAAGAAAGTTAAATCCACTTTCAAAAAAAGATATCAACAGCCATCCATGGTGACACATGCCTGCAATCCCAGTGACTCCGAGGCTGAGGCAGGAGTATTGAAGCAAGAATTAAAGACAGGAAGTTAGTGTAGATGGATGATCAGGTCTGATTGGGAAGATAGAAGCTGGTTTGGGTCAGAGAAGTTGGAGTCTGCCTCTGGGGATTGATACGCTAATGCATCTTGAGCCCTTCCTCCACCTTTACCAAGATAACCTGGCCCAGGAATTATTCCTCCAGGTAGGAGCTGTGAATTAATGCCTCCTGCCTGCTACCTGCCTGGATCACTCCACACTTGGCCATTTGATTCCCAACTTTTGGCTTACCCCAGCCTAGTCACCTACACAGGATGGGGAGAGAAAAGAGGAGAAAGAGGGCAGGAGAACAAAGAAAATATAAAATATATAAAAAGGGTATGACACTCCCACTTCTTGGGATACCAGGACACCAGCTATGACCCCTTCTTCCTGGAGGAGAAGTCTGTGTTACTATTATTTAAATAAAACTTGCATTCTATGCTTGCCTCAGTGTTTCTCTGGGGTTTAATCTTTACATCTGAGAAGTAGAACTCCTGTCACGGATAACCAGCAGTATCAGAATCACAAGTTTAAATCCAGCCTCAGCAACCTAAAAAACCGGGATGTGAATATGGCTTACTTGTTAGGGACCTCAGATTCAATCCCTGTTAACAAAACAAAATAAGATATCATCATCCAAATTTTTTCCACTTATATATTTATTATTATTTTTTTAAATACAGGACAATAGTGGAATGCATTACAATTCTTATTATACATATAGAGCACAATTTTTCAAGTACATGTATGAAGACTTGAATTGGGTGTCAACATACCTTATATACAAACAGAGATAAGAAAAATTGTGGTATAAATGTGTATTAAAAATTGTAATGCAAAAAAAAAGTACATGTATAATGGCATAAATTGGCATGAACATACTTCATCATCCAAATTTTTAATCTAAAATTTAAAATGACAAGGCATGCCAGAATATAGTAGCTAAAGTTCTAAAAATCAGAACATAAAATAAGACTCAGAGGTAATGCAGACTAGAGTTATAAAACATAGACATTAGAACCACTGATTAATGTGTTCAGGAAAACATACATTATCACCAAGTAAGTAGTTCTTTAAAAAAATAGTTAAAAATTCAAATTAGACATAGTGTTGCAAATCACTATACCCAGCTACAGAGGAGACTGAGACTGAGGTGGGATGGGAGGGGTCAGAAAAGGGCTCTCCAATGAGGCTGTTGAGCAGTCACTGAGGGTGACCATCTGGATGAGCAGTGCAAGTCTATGTAAGATAAAGAGAATGACAAACCCCAAAATAGTGTGGCCTGGGAAGAGGGAGTGAGGAAGAAGGCATGCACTGGGAAAGGATCATTGATAACATTAATCCTTTCCCAGTACATTCTTTCCTGGTGAAGGGAAAATCCCTAGCAAGGAAGTAATCATCCAGTGACAAAACAATCCCTGGGAAGGAGATATCCATCAAGACTAGAATGGCAGTCTCTGGGAGAAAGCCAAATCATTGATCCTTCCCCAAATAAATCCTTTCCCAGTACAATGGGACCCTAAAGGGAAAGAGATAAGCACTGAACACTGACCCCAGACTTTCCATCTTCCCCAAGTAAAAATATTGCCCAGTAAGAACAAATTTCAAATTCTCACAAACCTGTTTTCTGTGTGCTCAAACTGACACAATCTGTCAATGATTAAGTCATTCTCATTGTAGCATATATAAGCACAGACTCACCCTTTGGCCAGTGGATCATTTTCCATCAGGAAAGTGGGTCCACCGGGGCATGATTAAAGGTTGTGATTAAAGGTTGTGCTGATCCATGATCCACTATTAGCACAAAATTACTGATCCTTCAGTAAATTTGTGCTAACAGTGTAAGCACTAGTCTAAGGAACCAGCAAAGAGGCCAGAGTGTCTGAAGTCTGAGAGAGGGCAAGAAGACAGGGCATAAGGTCAAAGGAAGGACACCTCAGGCAAATCCTACCATGGACCACAATAAGGAATTTGTTGTGGACTGGGAATGAGACTGAAAGGTACCAGAAAGTTCGGAGTGAAGAAATGACATGATTTAACTGTATTTACAAGAACCACCCTGACTTTTATCAGGGGTGGAGATGGAGCAAGGAGATCACATTAGAGGCTAATGTAACAATCCAAGAGTCAGCATGGGTACACTCTTCTGAACTCTCCTTTGTTGGAAGATCTTGGAAGACTTCTTTATCTCTGTATGTGCTGCCCCTGTGCAACACCACTCAGGTACTCCAAGAACAGAAACAGCACCAGGTTTATCAGACACAACACACCAAGAGCACATCACCTGTAGCACTCTCTCCTGTTCTGCAAGAAAATGGGGGTGCAGGTGGGAAAGGCATAGAACTTTAAGAGGAGGAGAACTTCATTTCCTCAGCAAGGACTTAACCAACAGAGGATTTGTGAGGGTTTTTTATGATCTTAACTTGATCCAAACCATCCCAGTACCCTGCCTCACCCAGCCCATGATCAATTTGGGGAATAAAAAGAGTACAATACATAATAATGTTTAACTTTTGGTCCCATGGAATCTAGAG